AGATGCTTTTCCGGAAAAAGGGCTTTTCCGGAAAAGCATCTGTGGCCAATGTAGACGCTCTTTTCCGGAAATACTTATAACGAAAACTATTCTGTTTTAAGCATTTCCGGAAATTCATGCCAGTGTAGACGTAGCCCTGGTGTTTGACTCTAAGCATGATGCTCCCTTGCAGAACAGGGGCAGGGAGCAATAGACTTCACATACTCCCCCTCCCCAGGCCCTGATTGACCTGGGAGCAGCAGAGGGAGCACATGAAGTCTCCTCCTACTGCCAGGGGCATGGGAACCTACAGTTCAGAACAGCTGGCAGTTCTCTTGTGGGGGGGGGTCAAAAACTTTGCACACTCCCCAGCCCCTAGACCAATCAGGGTCTGTGGGTGGGGAAGCACAGAAGTATCATGACCCCAACTTCTTCTGCCTGAGGGATGCCCAGAGACACTTAAAAAATGTCTTAAGTGCACCCTCCCCTCCCCACGTTGAAAAATTATTGCCTACACCTGTATTACACATATAGTTGGGATTATGTTTTCCAATATGCATTACTTTGCATTTATCAACATTAAAATTCATCTGCCATTTTGTTGCCCAGGTATCTAGTTTCGTGAGATCCTTTTGAACTTCTTCAGTTTAGTATCATCTGCAAATGTTGCTACCTGCCTCTGTACCCCTTTCTCCAGATCATGTATGAATACATTGAGGTTTGTGGGCTTAAGCCCTTATGTCATAATACAGGATGGATCTGTTATCACATTTTTATATTAAACACTATGCACTTTTTAAATAATTATTTTCGAGACAGAAAATCTTAAATTCTTTCCTCAACCAAAACTCATGGGTGGCAGAAAATCAAAGATTGTCTAAGGACAGAGATCAGAATTTGGTTCAGTGGCATTCAATAATTAGAATAAAAGATAGTACTTACCTGTTAGGGATTGAAATTCTACCAGACATTACTAACCACTGATCAATTTATTTTAAACCAGTTATTTAGAGTCCCTGTTGTCCTCTTTCTCTTTGTGCTTTCACATGCTGTGCTGCCAAAAGGCTGGGCTAATGCCAAGGCATGAGGCAAAAATTAAATACAAGGCCCAATTAGGTTTCAGTCAGCACTCAGTGCAGCCGATTTTTGTTGTCTCCCTTTTGTTTGGATAGTATCTCATATAAATTAAATGTTCTATGAGAATGGAAACTTAGGTCTGGTTTTGAACTAAAACAGCAGGGGCCTAAAACAATGTATTCTAGATATTGCACATGACCCAAGAGCTGGTAACTTGAAAGTGAAACAGAGACCTTTCTATCAGGCATAATAATTTGTCTAAAACAATTGGCACTTGGTATTAACAAGTACTTTTTTTAAGATTAGAAAGAGGATTGGGACATGTTTTTATGTAGATTACTTCATAACTGTATTAGAAATTAAAATATTTTGTTTCAGGGGATGGGAATGGAAGATAAATTTGTGGATATTAAGACAAAAGGAAAGAAAGATAAATGCAGCAAACAGTGAAATGTTTCACCTGTTAAAAGATCTATACTAGACTTATTTGTATTGCCCTGTCTCATAACCTTCTCTCTTTCCTCTATTCATACTTATTTGCCAGAACAGCTCATTACTAAAGCGGTCAGTACGGTTAGCCACATTCCCTTCCTATTGTTTCTTCCCCCTTTGTGGGGACAAAGCTTTTGGCGAAGAGAAAGTCCCCGGCCAGTTCTCTAAACTCTTGCCTTTTATTATATCTGAAAATTCCTTAGGGGAAGTTGCCAAGGTCCTGGGGAGCTCCAGAGCTGTCCGCTCTCCAGTGGGAGGTGGCTCAGCCTGGTTGCCTATGTCTTGTCACTTTCAAAGCCAAACCCGGGGGAGGGCGGTAACATGTGATACTGACAAGCAGTCGGGTCCCTGTGCCGGAGAATCGTCACCAGCTTTCCCTTCACCAGCGAAGGGGGCGAGCGATGTGGTTTTCAGGGATGTCTCATTCCCGACAGGGCTTGATCCCAAAATTGTCTTTTCCGTGCGGGAAACCCGTCTCCCCGCTGCTTTCCCATTGCTGTCACTCCTTCCCTGGACAGGGCCGGGTCCGAGGTTCCTCTTAGCAGCAGGGGGCGGTTGGTGGAGGGGGCGGTGGGTCAGAGACATTCCTTCACCCGCCCCACCCACACACCCGGGCATGGGGCTG